TTTTCATCATCTCCAACAGTAGCCCTGCCTGAAACTTTATGAAAGGGATCAAAAAAAAAAAAAAAAGGGTTGCTACCCTTGCCATTCTGGTGGACTTTAGGCTAGTTCCCAACTACCCAGCTTTCCTTTCAGTTCACAACCTTATGGTCGCGAGCGCTCTCAGTTTTATTTCTTTTTTCGAAGGCTAGTTCTTTCAAGCCCCCAAAAGAAAAGAAACTAAGAAAAAAAGCAGTAATAGATTTGGACCGGGGTGGATTTGTATCGTGACAGGGTGCAATAAACAGCCTCCTGACCACAATTGAATCCAATACACCTGACAGCATGGTGGTCCGAAGAGAGGAAGTGGAGGGGGTATGCAGGGCCAACGCCCTCATTAAATTCAGATATATTGGATATATGTAAATTGGGATAATTGGTGAAAAGCGCCCACATGGAAACCTTTTCGCTTTCGGGTGCCCTTAAAAACCTAGGCCAGTGCTGTGCGCCCAGGGAAAACGAAAGCGGGGTATCTTAATCCCATGTCCAACCCAACCCTGGGCAGTTTTCCCTGGGCCCTACTTGGCTACCAGCCTGATGTGGGATGAAAATGCCGCCCTATCGCTTTCCCTGAGCGCACGGTATTGGCCCGTGTTTCCGTGTGGCAAGAACCGGAAACCATGTGAATTTGCTCGCTATGCTTGCCGGTAATAAGCAACCTGACTGCTGCCACCCCAGAATAGATGGGGCTGTGTGAGTTCAGATTAAAAAAAAAGAAAATATTAAATTGTGGACGCAGCATGTTTTGAAACCCTAAAGGCAGAAAAAACTTGCGCTGGCAAAGCAAAGCAACCACGCGCCAACTCAAAACTCGAAATGAGCCATTTCAGTCCAAAAGTATCCGTTGGGCATTTTCTTTATTTTTCTTTGTTTTCCCCTCTGACACCACGGCTGACCTTTGTAAATATGACACCCAGTCTGACGCCACAGCCGTCGGAACTTCCGTCGCCTTTTTGACTCGGCAGGGTTTCTTTTGCGGAAGCGTGTTTTTTAGGCACATTCCATACTCAAAGGCAACATTATCGTACTTTCCCTCAAAAGAAAAAACACAGTCAGCCTTTGGACAGTCCGTGTGTCCTTTGGCTTTTCCCTTAGTCGTCGTCCTTGTAGACCGTCAACACTATTTCGTTTCTTCTTTTAGGCTTGGTAGAGAGGCTCAGGCCAGGCTATATGCTACGAATCCACCTCGGCAGCGGCCATCTGCGGAGA